ACACACGTGGGGTGAGTGCTCGGATGCTTCTGGAAACAACGGGTATTGTTCATACCGGTGCGTCCCAAGTGCAGCCCTGACTGCCGTAAGGTGTTGACTGCTAGCCCCGAGGTAGCCACTAAAGAACAACTAAGAACTTACAGGAAGAGAAAGAGAAAGGGAACTAAGTATGTTTTATGTATTTATTTGAGGGAGAGCAAGAGCGAGAGTGCGTATGAGCAAGGAGGAGGGGCAGAGACAGAGGGAGAAGCAGGCTTCCCGCTGAGCAGGGGCCCAACGTGGGGCTCGATCTCAGGAGGGATCGTGACCCGAGCTGAAGGCGGACGCGCCACTGACGGAGCCCCCCGTGCGCCCCGAGATGGTACATTTTAAAAATCAACTAAATACAAAGACAGTAATGAAGGAGCTGAGCAACAACAACAAACATCGAAGACTGAGAACAAGTAAGTGGTAGACGTCAATCCAGAAGAGAACGGGGTGGTCTTACAAGCATCGGACAAAATAGAATATAATTTAAAAACGGTCACAAGAATCTAAGGAAGACATTTATATTAATCTTGGAAGTCCAGTCTGTCAAGGAAATGGAAAAATTACAGCCATATAAACACTGAACAGCAGAACCCCCAAAACAGAGGGCCCCAAACCCAGCAGAACGGAGGAGAGACACGGACAGCCCCGCGACAGTGGCTGCACGGGGGTTCCCCATTTCCATAGGGACCGAGCAACCAGACGGCGATGTGTGAAGGACGGCGAGCGCGGTGCGCTGGAAGGAGGCGGCGCCCGCAGACGCCCACAGGACACCCCCACACCCGCCAAACCAACGTCTCAAGTGCGCACGGAACCTCCGCAGGGACAGAGCCCCGGTCTCACCGGACAGTAAGCCCCGTAAGCTTAGAAAGACCGGGACAACACGGGTCTCCCCCACCTGCAGTGGAAGGGAGCAGCGGAAAGCGCCACACGCGCGCACGTTAAAGCCGCGCTCTGAAACGACCGAGGACCCAAAAGACAAGTCACCAGGGAAGTTGTAAAAATACTCGAAGACTAGAAAAACGGTTACAGGATGCGACAAAGGCCTTGTGGGTGAGAGTCGGATCTATAAATGCCTACTGCATAGAAGAGACCCGTAACCTAACTTCACACCTTCAGGAACAAGAAAAAAAGAACAAACTAAACCCAAAGCCAGCAGCGGTGAGGAGAGGCGAGGGCATCCGTGAGGGGCGGCCCACCGCCAGGGGCGCGTCGCACCCGCACGGGTCCCACCAGCGCTGCAGGAGACGCGTCCCTGCACGTGGCCACCGCTCCACCACCCCAGCAGAGGAAGGGAGGCCGCCCCAGCAGTAGCTCAGCCCATGGGGGCCCCTACACTTCCAGCTCCTGTTTACTCCAACGGACTCTGAGTTCTCAACAGCCCCTCCAACCCCTCCTTTCCCCCATGGAAAGGCCGCCTCTGCTTTGTTCCCGGATTTGCCTTTATTCCAGAATAAAGCCATTTTTGCTGGTAAAGTAACTGTTAGTTTTATTTTTAACACTGGAGATAAATAAAATGAAAAATAGAAAGAGAACCAACAAAACAAGTTGGTTGGATAATTCTTTATATAGGCTGAGAAAAAACAAGACTCAAATTACCAAAATTGGAAGTGAGGGGCGCCTGGGTGGCTCAGTGGGTTAAGCTTCTGCCTTCGGCTCAGGTCATGATCCCAGGGTCCTGGGATCGAGCCCCGCATGGGGCTCTCTGCTCAGCAGGGAGCCTGCTTCTCCCTCTCTCTCTGCCTGCCTCTCTGCCTGCTTGTGATCTCTGTCTGTCAAATGAATAAAATCTTTAAAGAAACAAAATTGGAAGTGAATAAGAAAACATTACTGGATCTTACAGAAATACAAAAAGATAAGAAAATACAATCAAAAATTAAATGCAACCATATTAGAAATCCTATGAAATGGACACATTCCTAGAAACACACAAATTACTGAATCTGACCCAAGAAGCAACAGAAAATCCAAACATGCCCTATAATAAGAGACTCAATGAGTAATCAACAACATCCCACAAAAGGAAAGCCCAGGACCAGATGGCTTTGTGGGTAAACCCTATCAATGTTAAAGAATTAGCACCAATCCACCCCAACCTCTCCCAAACAAAAGGAAGGGACACCCTAGGACTCATTCTGTGAGGCCACCATAACCCTGACAACAAAGTCAGACAAAGACATCACCAGGGGAAAAAATGATAAATCAGTATCTTAAGAATACAGACGCAAATATTCTCAAGAAAATACTAGGAAATAGAATCCAGCAACATATTAAAATAATTAGGGGCGCCTGGGTGGCTCAGCGGGTTAAAGCCTCTGCCTTCGGCTCAGGTCATGATCCCAGGGTCCTGGGATCAGGTCCTGCTTCGGGCTCCCTGCTCTGAGGGAAGCCTGCTTCTCCCTCTCCCACGCCCCCTGCTTGTGTTCCCTCTCTCACTGTCAAATAAATAAATAAATTATTTTTAAAAAAATTAGACATCATGATCATGTGGGATTTATCCGAGGAATACAAGGATGGCTCAACGTACAAAAATCAATTAATGCGATATACCACATTAATAGAAGAAAGGGAAAAATTCAAAATCATTTCATTTCATGATAAAAACATCGAAATTAGAAATGGAAAGAAAATAACTCATAATGATACTGGAAAAACCCAAAGCTAGTATCACCCTCGTGGTGTAACAGAAAGCTCTCCTTCTAAAATCAGGAACAAGACAAGGCTGCCCATTTTCACCACTTCCGTTAAATCCTACTCGAAGTCCCAGCTGGAGCAATTAGGCAGAAAAAGAAATAAAAGTATCTGTAATTGTAGGTAACATATGATATGTAGAAAATCCTTAAGAACTCCACAAACACACACAACATCAGAGATACTAACGACATTCGAGAGGGCCTGGGTAGCTCCGTTAAACATCTGACTCTTGGTTTCGGCTCAGGTCTTGAACTCGGGTCACAAGTTCGGGCCCTGCACTCCGCTCCACGCTGGCATGGAGCCTCCTTAAGAAAACGAGAAGTTCAGCAACACCGTAACGTACAAGGTCGGTGCCCTAAAGATCACTATTTCTACATGCCAGCCCTGAGCAGTCCGGAAAGGGAACTCAAAACTTCACACACAAGAGCATCAACAAGAATAAAATACGTTGGAAATAAATTCGCTCAGGGAAGTGCACGACGCGCGCCCCCAAGCCGGAGAACTTTCGGGGAGAAATCGAAGCTCCGGGTCCGCGGAGAGGCTCTTCTGTGCTCACGGCCGGCGCTTCCGAACGCGCCCTCCGCGCTTCGGTTCAACGCTGGCCCCGCCGACGCCTCAGCCTTTCGGGCAAACCCAGAAAAAGTGACCGTCAAGTTCCCACGGACTCGCCGGGGACCCCCAGGAGCGCGGCCCGTCGTGGCAGAGACGCAGCGGCAGGACTCGCGGGGCAGCTGCGGCCCTCGAGAGCCTGCGGCGCAGCGGCGCGGGGGGCTTGGCCGGGGAAGCGGCTGCCTCCGGCTCAGGTCCGGGGTCCCGGGGTCCCGGGTCGAGCCCCGCGGCCGGCTGTCTGCTCCGCGGGGACCGGGCTCCCCTCCCCCGCCGGCCTCTCTGCCGACTCGATGTCCGTGTGTCTGATAAATCGGGTCTCGCAGCGCGCGTGCGGCCCGAGAACAGACGCACAGGCCGGCCTGCGACCCGGACACCGCGCGGCCGGAGTCACCGCAGCGGCGAGCACGACTCAGCGGAGAGGACGCGGCTCTCAAGCCCTGGTCGCGACCGTGCGAGTGTCCACGGGCGAAACAACGAGGCCAGACGCCCGCGACAACGAACTGGAGCCGGACCAACCCCGAGTCCCGGCACCGACGTCCTGAAGCGCTCGGCGCAGGCCGGAGCGGACGGCCGCGGTGTCGGTCCCGGCTGGCGACAGGACTGCGGGGGGACGTCGAGCCCGGGACAGCGGCGCTCGTGCGCGCCGACGGCCGCGCGCATCCGTGCGGGGCAGGCCGGGGCCCCGCGCGCAGAGCGGCCAGGACCGGCCGGGACGGCGCAGGGAGCGCAGCGGCTCTTCCGCGGACCCGCCGGCCACTCGCTCGGAGACGGGCCGCGCCGGGAGCCGCCGGGGGCCGGACGCCGCTACCCGCGGGCCTGGGACGGCGGCGACGCCACGGGCTCCCGGACGCTCCCGCGCGCCCTCATCCCGCCGCGCGCGCCCGCAGGGTCCGGGGCACACCCCGCCGTGGGGAGCGCTCGGCCCGGTCCGCTCGCGGAGCCCAACGCGTCCCCGAGCCCCGGCGTCCCGCGAACGTCGTCAACAGCCCGCGCGTCCCCGCAGCCGTAGCCCCGCGCCGACCGCCCGCGCCGCTCACCTCAGGCCTGCGGAGGCAGACCCCGGCCGGTCCCGCGCCGCGCACCGCTGCGGCCACATTCCAGCTCCCGGGGGCAGCGGCTCCCCCCGCCAGCAGCACCGTCCGGCCGCCGCGCGCTCCTGAGCGCCCCGACAGCCCCGCCGGCCACGCCTCCGCGCGAGGACGCCGCGCCCGCCACGCCTCCGACCACGCCCCTGGGCCCGAGTGCCCCCTCCTGCCTGCCACGCCTCCGGCCACACCCCACCGGCCCCTCCCTTCGGCCACGCCCCCGCACGAAGGCCCGTCGACTGTGTCCCCGCACGCGGACGCCCCGCCCCCATGCCTCAGACCACGCCCCCGCACGCGCCCCTCCTGTTGACCACGCCCCTGCACGAGGACGCCCTGCCGGCCACGCCCCCGACCCGCCCCCCGCACGCGCGCCCCGTCGGCCACGCCCTTCGGCCACGCCCCCGAGCGAGGACGCCCCGCCGGCCACGCCCCATGGCCCCTCCCGGCCTCCACTTGCCGCCGCCGCGCCTCCGCAATCCCCGCGGCGGGGGCGAGGGCGCGGCGCCCCTCCCGGTTCCCGCTCCCAGGCCCCGCCCCTTCCTCCCTAGGTCCCGGGGCCCCGCGCGGCCGAGCGCAGAGTCGCTGATGGAGGCGGAGGCGCGGGCTCTGCGCGCGGCCGGGGGCTTCGGCCGGGCCCGGCGCCTGCTGGCCGCCGCCTCGTGGCTGCCGTGCGTGGCGCTGGGGCTGGCGCTGGGCTCGGGTCCGCTGCTCACCGCGCTGCCGCCGCACCACTGCCGGCCGGACCCCGCGCTGCTGCCCCCCGCGCTGCGCGCCCTCCGCGGGCCCGCGCTGCTGGACGCCAGCGTGCCCCGCCTGGGCCCGGCGCGCGCCCCGAGCCCCTGCCTGCTGCTGCGCTACCCCGAGCCCGCGGCCCGCGCCCGCCCCAACAGCACGCGGCCCTGCACGCGCGGCTGGCACTACGCGCTGCCCGCCGCCGGCCTGCTGCGCAGCCCGGTCACCGAGGTGCGGCCCCGGCCCGCGGCGCCCCGCCTCCCCCTCCCCCCTTCCCGCCCCGCCCTGCCCGCACCTTCTCCGTCCCCCTGTCTCCTGCCCGCGGCCTGCTGGGGCTGTTCGCGGGGTTCCTAGTTGGGGTAGACGGTGCCACAGGGGCCCCGGAAGGCAGGGGCCAGGCCTACTGGCGGCACCTGCTGCCCGAAGCGTGCCAGTGTGGGCGGGCGGCCTGGAGGAAGAGGCGTTCGGTGGACGGTAGGAGCGCAGAGCGGCCAGGGGGTCCGCGGTGCGTGGCGCTGCGGGGCCAACGAAAGGAGCGAGCTGTGGCTTGGGGCCGTGTAGGTGTCGAAACTGAGTCCCCGAGACAGGAGGCTTTGAATCCTGGCGGCCCGCAGCGCAGCAAGCCTTCCCCGCTCCGCACCCGCAGGGGCCAGCTGGACGGGGCGGGGGGGGGGGGGGGCACTTCAGGGGTCTCTGGGAAGAGATGGGGAGGGGGCGGCTGGGACCTCCCAGGTCCCTCTCCCTCGCCTCCGTCCCTTGGGCTGGGACCTGCCCAGCTGGGCTTCCCTCCCGGCCTCTGTCCCACTGCCCTAACTCTGTTCCTGGGAGGATTGGCCCCAGTGCGGAAACTGGGACAGGGTTGCCACATCCCTGCCTGGAGTCCTGAAACCGCCCGGGCTTCTCCTCCTCCGCCCGCTGTGTTCCCGTCGCACCTGCCCTTCTGTTGGGACACAGACCAGTCCGCGCCCCACCAGCTTCCGTGAATGTTTGGTTTTTAAACTAGAAACTCGGATGTAGTGTGACTCAAAGTGGTATGTTAGGTCTGGGGACCAGGCGTGGACACCTGGGAGGAGAGGCGGGGAAGGGTGAGACTGAGGTCAAGGGCCCTTGCCAGGAAAAGTGGGTGAGCCCAGCCCTCCAGCCTGTTCCCGGAGTCACTCTTGAGATGAGCAGGTCAGGGGGGAAGTGAGGGCGAGGGCCTCGGCCCCGCGGTGGGAAGCTCAGACCCATGAAGAGTCCCCTGAGGCTGCAGAGAGGTGAGTGGAACCCGCCCAGAGAAAAACAACAGACGTGGGGCTCCAGGTGGGTGTCCCGAGGACCCCTGTCCTTGCCCTCTGGGGCTTCAGACCAGGAATTGTTCAGATCTCAGCGGAGAACTACCAGAGTCAGGAGGGTGTGCTTTGTGACCTTGAGCAAGTCACTCGCCTGCTCTGTGCCTCAGTTTCCCCCATCTCCAGAGAGGAGTTGGAGCCGTTGGCAGCCTGACCCTCCGGGAACTCCAGCACGGGGGAGGGTGGGCCTGGCCAGCCCACAGGTGACTGGTGTTCCCCGTAGTGGAACCTCGTGTGTGAGGACGGCTGGAAGGTGCCCCTGGAGCAGATGAGCCACTGCCTGGGCTGGCTGCTGGGCTGTGTCCTCCTTGGTGCAGGCTGTGACCGGTGAGGAGCTGGCCTTTTCCTCTACCCTAGCTGTCCTCCCCTCATGCCCTGGAGGGTCTAGCTAGGTCCCCAAGCCGTCTGACCCTCAGCCACATGTGTTCCCTGCCATGCCCCAGGTATGGACGTCGGGCTGTGTTTGTGGCCTCCCTGGTGCTGGCCACAGGCCTGGGGGCCAGTGAGGCCCTGGCCGCCAGCTTTCCTGCCCTGGTGGCTCTGAGGCTGCTTCATGGGGGGTCCTTGGCGGGCTTTGGCCTGGCCCTGTACGTGGCTCGTGAGTACCGTGGGGTGCTTCTGGGGGGCACCCCCTCGGGCAAGGCCGGCCACTCAGCTGCAGGGCCAAGTCCGGGGGCTGGGGAGGGCCCTCCGACACCCCCACTGAGGGCCCTTCTTGTGAAGGCGGGAGGGGCGCCGTCTGTTCTGTGAGCTCTGCTGGTGGTGGGAAGGGCTGGGGGCTGGAGGAGTCCACGACTGGTGCCCCTCGGCCCCGGACGGAGCAGCTGTCCCAGGACGCCTTGGTCTCAGGCTGTTTCTGCTCAGGTCTGGAGCTGTGTGACCCCCCTCACCGCCTGGCATTCTCCGTGGTGGGTGGCCTCTTCTCGGTGCTGGGCACCCTGCTGCTGCCCGGCCTGGCCCTGCTCGTGCAGGACTGGCGCCTTCTGCAGGGGCTGAGCGCCCTGGTCACGGGGCTCTTGCTCCTGTTCTGGGGGTAAGTGTCGGGGTAGATGGTTCCAGAAGAGCGGTAGAGACCATGTGTGTCATATCCCTCCATGCATGTGGGAATGGGACAATGACCCAGGAAGCCGTGGCATGACCCCTGGGTCCTGGGCAAGGGCGTTGGCCTTGGCCAACCCTCCAGAGAGGACTCGTGGGCAACCTCACCCGACCCTGCAGGTTCCCATGGCTGTTCCCGGAGTCTCCCCGCTGGCTGCTGGCCACGGGACAGCCAGCCCGAGCCGGGAAGATCCTGGGGCACTTTGCGGAAGCCGGGGGCGTGGACCCCGAGGACAGCTCGGAGGAGGAGAGCTCCCTGGCTATGGGTAACGCACCAGCCAGGAGAAGGGAGGTGTGGGAGAAGGGAGGAGAAGGGTCAGCCTCTCACGTGTGCCCTCTCCTGTCCCCGGAGGCACAGAACTGGATATGCTGGGTGCAGGGGGCCCCCAGCCCCAGTACCACTCCGTCCTGGAACTCCGGCACACCTGCGTCGCCTGGAGGAATGGACTCATCCTAGGCTTCAGTTCGTGAGGAGGAGAGGGCGTGGGCGGGCCAGCAGTCCCGGAGCATCCTCCCAGGCTGGGTCTTGGCCACCAGAGTCCCCAGGCCGGTAGTGCCTTAGCTCCGCCCTTCCTTCCTCCCTCCCAGGCTGATCTGTGGGGGCATCCGAGCCAGCTTCCTGCGCAGCCTGACCCCGAGGGAGCCCACCTTCTACCAGCCCTACTTCCTGGGCACTGGCCTGGAAGCAGGAGCCAGCGTGTTCCTGCTGCTGACGGGGGACCGCTGGGGACGACGCCCAGTCCTCTTGCTGGGCACCCTGGCCATGGGCTTGGCGTCCCTGCTGCTCCTAGCCGGGACCCAGTGTGAGTGTGCAGAGGCTGAGGGTCTGACTGCCATGGGGTGCTGGGATCGGCCCTCTCCTGGGCCCACGAGAGAGGCACAGGTGTTGGGGTGACGCTGTGCCGTTTACTCCACTCACATCCCCACCGTGTACCCAAACCAACACCCAAAGGATCCCATGGGAAGGGGCTCAGTATAAGGCTCTGGTTCAAGTAGGGGCGGCTGGGAAGTCCTGACACTGGCCACCCGGCACAGGGCACGCGTCATGGTGAAAGGCTGGGAGACCAGGCCCCGTGGGCAATGTGGGAGCCTTCTCCTCCTCCCCAGACCTACCAGAATGGACCCTGCTGTCCCTCTCTGCCCTGGGCCTCCTGGCCTCCCAGGCCGTGTCGGCTGTCAGCGCGCTCCTCGCCGCAGAGGTCCTCCCCACGGTGATCAGGTGCGGCTGCTCCCCCCCTTCCCAGACCGAGCCTGGCCCGGCCGACCCGCCGCTGCCCCGACTTCACACCCGCCCTTCCCCAGGGGCACAGGGGACCCTGGTCACAGAAGGGAGTGGAGCTGGCGGGCAGACTTGAGGCAGCCCCAGAGAGGACAGAATCCCAGGGGAACAGCCAGGTTCTCATTTCCTGATGAAAAGAACAAAACTTGTTCCAGGACGGGGAGGAGACCCTGTTCCACAAACACTTCTGAGTTTGGTTTTCCCGGGGCCCCCACACTGTGCCCCCTGCCCCGTCCCCCGGGTAGCCCCCCAATGCCACACACTCTCTCCCGCAGGGGGGCCGGGCTGGGCCTCGTGCTGGGGGCCGGCTTCCTGGGCCAGGCGGCCGCCCCCCTGGCCGACCTGCCGGGCCGGCGCGGCTTCTTCCTGCACCACGTGGTGTTCGCCTCCTTCGCGGTCCTGGCCCTGCTGCTTGTGCTGCTGCTGCCCGAGAGCCGCGGCCGCGCGCTGCCCGTGTCGCTGCGGGACGCCGACCGCCTGTGCCACGCCCCCCTCCGCCGCCCGGGCCCGGCCCGCCTGCCGCTGCTGCCGCCCATCCCCTGCCCGGTGGGGCAGCCGCTGGCCCAGGAGAACTGAGCGCAGCCCCCTCAGGCGGCTGTGACCCAGGGCGGAGCCCCCACCCCCTGGAGCCCCCGTTGCTCAGCACCCCCCCACCCCATGTGAAGGATAAAGGCGCCCCGTGGAGCTTGGTGTCCTCGCTGCTCCTTCCCGCGGCCCCGGGCCACCCGCTCCGAGCAGCTCACTCCCGCCAGCCCCACACCCTGGGGGACGGCCCTGTGTGGCAGACAGTTGGGGGGGGGCGGGCTGGACTCTGTGGGTCACTGCACGGCCCCCAATGGAGAGAAGAGCACGTTTTTAATTCTGGGGAGGGAGGGCTGCTTCCTTTCACACAAAGATGAGGCCCGCGTAAGTGGGGGCGACTGAGAACAGGGTTGTCTGGTTCTCCCCAGGGAGGGGCCCTCCTTTCCCATCTGATCCGGCGCTCCAGACTGTGGGGCCATGGACCAGGGGCCTCCCCAGGAGAAGCAGGCTGCCCGAGGGCCTCAGGGACAGAGCGGGGTGCCCTCTGCCCACCTCTGCAGCCGCAGTACCAGGCCCCTGAGGTCAGGCTGCCCGTCCTAGGAGGACGTCTGCCATCCCCATCCAGGCTGTGCCCTCAGCAGAGCAGCCACAGGTCTGATCAGAAAGTGCCTTTCCCCAGCCCTCGGTCTGGCCCTCACGGGGGTCCGTACAAGTCAGCCAGCCGGGCGAAGCGGGGACCCCAGGCCCAGAGGCAGCTGTAGTCTTGGTCCTCGTCCCCCAGGCTGGACAGGATGGAGCTCAGCGTCCCTGCCATAGAACCATCGCCCTCGTAGTCATAGATGAGAGCTGTGTCATAGGGCGGGACACTGGGGTCGCTGTCTGCCGCCTCCAAGCCCTGTGGAGAGGCCCCGAGTGCTCAGGATGCCTGCGCATCCCACCCCCGCAGGGGACCCTCCAGGTCAGGCAGCACAACGGAGCAAACTCGCCCCAGGCTTGGATGCTGAGAAGGGAGGGTCTCCGGAGTGAGGGGGGCAGAGGAGGTCTGGGGGCACAGACCTGAGCATGCAAGAGCGGGAGCACCACCAGGACCCCCCACGCAGGCTGAGAAGACACTTCCCTCTGCACGGCTGTCCTTCCTTGGGGCCAGGATCCCGAGACCCCTGACACCCCCCGCCCCTGTGGGACCACCTGCTTTTTCCTGTTAAAAGGTTCTGCAAACGGTTCTGTCCCCTCCATCTGCTCTGCTCCCCAGGCCACACCCCCTCCTGTGACCTGCCCCAGCGCTTGTCCTAAGCGCAGGTGTATGCCTGGGGGTCCCTCTGACCAGGGGTGCAGCACCTGCCCTTGTGTCCTTGGTGCCCCCAGCCGGGTTCCCGTGTTCTGCACACCTCCTGCAGGAACACCCTGACACCGTGCCCACAGAAACTACCGGGGTGCCTGGATTCAGGGACACCTGCACCCCCAGGCCTGGGATGCACCAATGTCTCTCTGCCAGGGCCCAGTGGCACGTGTCCCAGAGCAAGGCCTGGTCCACCCCCACCTGACCAGGCACACCACGACCCAGGGCAGGGCTGACCACTCCTCTTCCCACGGGGCTTCTGCAGCTGTGGTCCCCCCCATGTCTCAGCTTTGCATGGCTCTCAGATCCTCCCATGCTTCCCCAACGCTCAGCCGGGGTCCCCAGTGACCTCTGTCTCCACAGATGGCGCATGTACGGGGGGCCCTACAAGGGTCCACAGGGTACACACGTGTCTGGCGGTCCCCACCGCACGCGCATCAGTGGGGATGTGCGTGGCCCTGTGGCCCTGCTCCCCTCGCACACCTGTAGGGGCACCTACGTCATTGATGAAGTCGGCGATGTCGGCAGGGCTGGTGGGCAGCAGGCGGGGTGGCTGGGGGCGCACGCGGCTGAACGGAGTGTCTCGGCGCAGTGGCGGCCGTCCCAGGGGGTCATGCAGGGCAGCCAGCTCTGCAGGGTGGCGCAGCTGGTTGATATCATAGGCGTCCTGGGGACGAAGCGGGTGGAATGCAGCCCCGATCTATCACAGGGTGGGCTTTCTGTCCCAGACACCTTGCCGGGGGGGAGGGGTGCTGGGGGCGAAGGCCTAGGAGGACCTGCTGGCCAGCTGGGGGGACCTCCTCCTGGACCGTATGGGTGCCCCCACCGGCCCTCCAGGGACCCTTCCCACCACATCCCCCAACACCCTCTCTAACCTGGTCCTCTTCTCCACCTCCCTGTTCATCGTAGTTGAGAATGTTGTCCCGGAGGTCGTCCTGCAGCCCGTGCAGAAATCCCTTGTCCGCAGACGGCCGCCGGGACCGTGTGACGAGGGCCACCGGCAGGGCAAGCACTGAGGGGGCAGGAGGGAGAGCAAACGGGAGGAGATCAGGCTGAGGCTGGACTGGGCATTAGGGGTGGCCCAGGGGCAGCAGGCATCAGCACGCAGGCACTCACAGAGGAGCAGGACGATGCTGGCCAGCATGATGACCAGGGCGCCCAGGCTGACGCCCGCGCCCCCTGCGTGCCGGGCGGCAGCTCCTGGCAGGCAGACTCCGTCCTGGGCGCAGCGGCACACTGTCACGTTCAGGGGCTGCTCGCGCTGCTGGGGCGGCTGCCCTGAGTCCCGGAGCAGCAGGCTGAGGCGGTGCAGACCCTCCGGGACCTGGTGGCGCAGACGCAGGCGCGCGTGGCTCACTGTCGGGGACACCCAAGGTCAGCAGGGGCCTCTGGGCCAAGCCAGTCCCCACCCCAGCCCCGCCCTGTCCTTCCAGGGCCCCTCAGCACCCTCTGCTGCTGGGCGGGGATCCCGAGGCCCAGGCTCTCCGTTTCCCCATCTGCCCACTGGGAGGTGGAAACCAGCAGGACCACCGTGTGCGGTTCCCCCAGGCCTCAGGTCTGGACCCTCGGGATCGTGGTTGGGAGAGCTCACCATTAATCTGGATGAGGCTCCAGTTCCGGGTCAGCTCTGGGACCCGGGGACTCAGCTGAAAGTGGAAGGGGGCCCCGTGGGGGGGCAGGTCCTCATCCGTGGCCCCCAGGAGAAGGCCCGAGCCCTGCTCTGGCTTGCTGCACATGCGGCCGGATGGTGGGGACAGCTCAGGGGCGTGGTCATTGACCTCCAGGATCTCAACGGACAGGGTCCCCGTGGCCGTGCAGGGCACGGAGGCTGCAGGAGGGAGAGGCCTGGTGGGCTCCTGGCTCTGTCAGCGCTCACCGCCCGCCCTCCGAGTCCGCTCCGTGGAGGGCCAGCTCTGAGCCCCGGAGCAGGGGCAGGGATGCCCAGCCTGGGTCAGAGGGCCTGGGAGCCCAGGCACAGGCACGGCCCTCACCATCGTCACGAGCCAGGATAATGGCTCTGTACCAGCCGTCCTTGAGGAAAGGGGATGCGGGGCTGAGCACTCGCTGGGTCTGGACCCAGCCCGTAGCTCCGTCCACTTCCAGCCAGTCCTCTGGGTCGTAGTCCTTGGAGTAGCTAGTGGCCGAGAAGGGGACAGAGTGCCCTGAGCTTACACAGGACCCCAGGGCTGTGGTCTCACTTCAGCACACACTCAGACATGCAGCACACCCGCACACACACACACACACACGCCCCATGCGTGTGCCTCCCTCACACACACACACACAGACACACACTGTAAGCACACATGAGCCCCTCCGAAGCCGCTCCTCCAACAGCCCTGAGGCAGTGCTGTCTGTCCCCATTGACAGACAAGGAAACTGAGGCCCAAGGCCATGGCCACTGGGGGCCACAGCCAGGCTCAACACTGGAAAGCCATGGAGACGGATACACAGGACCCTGCTGGGGGGGAAATCCGGACTCTGAGACACTGACCCGGAGCGGCACCAGCGGGCCGGAACGGACAGGGCTGGCACTGGGACGGGCCAGAACAGCAGGGGCAGGTCGCAGCCCTGCCTCACGGGACAAGTTCACAGCAGCACGCACACACACACAGGCCGTGAAGCCCCACGGACCCTCAGGAACGCGCACAGACAGACGAGCCCTCTGCCCTCTGAGTGGGGTCGGCTGTGCTCCTGGTCCTGGCTGGGCAATGGACCAGGGGGCCCTGAGCTCCCTCTGCCTCACCCGGGGGCCCCCACCTGAGCCTCTGCGGCTGCTGGGTGTCAGGGTCTTGGGCAGAGAAGGTGGCCACGGGGGTTCCCGGGAGCGCCCCCTCAGGCAGGCTGGTCCGCAACGGGTTCTCCTGGAACACGGGCGCCTCGTTGACGTCCTGCACTTGCACGTGGATCCTGGCCTGGCCCCGCTGGGCCCTGGGGACCGCCGCCTGCAGGGGGGCCTCGTTCCGCACTGCCACAGTGAGGTCATACCGGTCACAGCGCTCGTAGTCCAGGGGCTGGGGTGGGGAACACAGAGCTGAAGTCGCTGATGGCTCTGGCCCCGCCAGAGGCAGCTACGAGCAAGGCGAGGCCCTCACAGGGGTCCTGCTGGCAACCCCCACCCCGTCTCTTCCCCACAGCCCCTTTCCCTCCTCCTCTTTAGCCCTGGGAAATAAAAATGATTTGGGACCAAAAGGTGTGAAGAATGATGTGACAAACAGTAAATGCTCGTCACTCTGAGTCCGCTCAGCGCCGCGTCATCGGCTGCCCGAGTTACGTGCTGGGGCGCTCCCCGGGGACACAGGCAACACGCGTCCGGAGACAGTGGAGAAGGGCTCTGGTGGCCGGGGTTAAGTTAACCTTTGCCAGCAGCTGGCTTTAAGTAAAGAGGGTCCTGGAGGACCCGAGCGGGCCTCCTCTGTGGCTCACAGCCGTCAGGAGCAGGCGGAGATCTTCCTGAGGAGAAAGGAGCTCCCGGCCTGCGGGCCCGCGCCCACCAAGCCCGGCCTGCGGCGGCACCGGAGCACACGCGCGTCTGTGTGCTGGGCTTCCGGCCGGCGCACCCAGGTGCGGTATGTGCTCGTGCACATCTCCACACCGGAACAGGCACGGTCCCCTAAATCCAGGAACAGCACACAGGCGGTGGGGGCACCCCTCCTTCTGGTCCCTGTGCCCTGGGGTCAGCGTGGCCTGAGCCTAGAGCCCTAGCGTTCCTGGCACCACAGCATTCTGCTCTCTCTGGAGGGTGCCCCAGACAGGGTCCCCGCGCTCAGGGCCAGCAGCAGACCCCAGCTGGGAGAGCCACGCACCACACTCACCTTCACCACGGACAGCACACCCTCATTAGTCTTGGGGTCTGTGCGGATAGTGAAGTGTCCATTGGGGTCGCCCTCCAGGATGGTGAACCTGGCCACCCAGTTGGGGGAGCCTGGCAGGTCCCTGTCCTCCACCTCGAGCCTCCCCACATCCACTCCGCTGACAGCCTCTGTGACCTCCATGAAGAACTGTGGGAGCCCAGCCCTCGTTACTGCCAGGGCTGTGGGGGGGCAGGGAGGTACTCCCGTGCGGGGATGCTCTCCCCCGGTCCCTCCCAGCCAAGTCTGTGGCCCACCCAGCCCTCCAGGGGTCCCCAAGAGCCCAACTCTGTGGGCGCAGCTGCATGCCAGGCACCCTGTGGTCTGCCTTCCCCTGGAGGGCAGGGCTGACTCCTCCCTCCCGCACAGCAAGGCTGGAGGGAAGGTTCCTTCCTGCTCCCCGAGGGCTGCGTCTCCCCAGGGCCTCTCTCCCAGCTCCGCCGACCGCGCTCGCGTGCTCACAGGAAGCGTCTCTGGCTGGGGTTTCTGCCTCAGCCACACAGGGCTCCTTCTCCGAAGCCTCCAACCTCCCATCTCTCGAAGTCCCGGGTCCCCGCCAGGAGCCCAAGGAGGGAAGGGCGGTCCCTAGCAGGGACGTGGACGGTGGCCCCACCTCGTCCCCGGTGAACCCGGGGGCATTGTCATTGATGTCCTCGAGGGTGATGATGGCTGAGGCTGTGGCAGTGAGGCCGTCTCCAGACATGTCCGCCACCTGCAGGGTCAGATTGTACACGGCGACCACCTGGGGGCATAGGACATGCAGTCAGGGGCCTGGGGGGGCAAGGAGCCCTCCCAGGAGAGCCTGTGGGCACCTGGAGCCCCCAGTGGCCCCCAGCGCCCCACCCTCCTCCCAAGCAAAACGAGCCAGCTGCTTTCCAGGTCTGACCACACCGCTGCTGACCCCACACTCCGCCCCAGCCTGGGAGGGGCGAGACACCAGTTACCAAGTTGGACAAGATCCACAGGGCACCTGCTACCTGCTGGAGGCTGAAGAGCACCAGCAAGCTGGGTCCCTGCCCTGGGGAGCCAAGTCCAGAGGCAGAGAGAGAGAAAGACCCCTAAGACGACCTAAGGCTGTGAGGGACCAGACGGCTGTGCGGGCGGCCATGGGGAAACCAAGGAGGGCTTCCCGGAGGTGTCAGAGCCGCACAGAAGGCCGCGGCAAGGGGTCCCGGGGGGCCCCCAAGAGGGAGGCTATACAAGAGTGGCTACGGCCCCAGAGCGCGACCGGTCCCTGTGTGGCCCCTCGCAGGGCTCTACCCGAGGCTGGGAAGCCCGGAGGCTTTGTCGGCAGCGAGGCAGGAGAGGCTTTCAGCAGAACACAGCCTGAGGACTTGTCAGGGCTGGCGCGGCTCAGACGGCCTTCCAGAGCCTCCCTGGAGTGGACCCTACAACCAGCCAGGGGAAGAGGTGTCCCAGCTGAGCGTGTGCTCTGAGCCCCTGGGAATGTCTGCAGGCAACGGGGGTCCCCTCTGCGGCGGCTGGGGCAGCTGGGGCGGGCAGGGCTGGGGCAGGGCCCCATTGCAAGTGAGCTGCCCTCGTCAGGCTCAGACGGCTAACAAGGTGGGCAAAGAGAGGTCGGGGGCCCTAGCTGCCCCAGCCTCCGGCATCCGTGGCGGCACCCTGGGGTCTCACCTCACGGTCCAGACCCACTTGCACGGTGCGTATGTCCCCCGTGAGCTCATCGATGCTGAACACCTGGGGACCGCCCTGCTCTAGGATGGAGTAGCGCAGGGCTGCGTTGTCGGTTTCCGGGTCGTCAGCATCTGTGGCCTCGGCCCTGGTCACATAGGTGCCTGGGAAGGACAGGGACGTACAGCGGTGATGCACACGGGCCAGCCCGGCCCCCAGGATGTGTCCCGACACTTCCCTGTGGCCCACCATGCCAGGTCCAGCCCCCCATTCGGCCTGCACAAACTTGAACACTCAGGCCTTGGAAGCAGGGCTGTGTGACCCACATGTTTAACCAAGAGCTGACACCAGTGTCCCCCAGACACGGACACAGCCCAGGAGGGGGCGAGAGCCCCAGGTCAGATGGGGGGAGCCAGCTGGAAACCCTGAGGCCGGCCCCAAGGAGACAGAGGCCATGGGAACTCATGACTAACAAAGGTAGAGAGACACGTATGTACAGGTGTGAGTGGCACACACAGCACACACATGCGCACGCAACACACACATGCGCACATCTGTGTACAAGAAAGCACCTCTCCCAGCTCTGCCAGCCAGAAGGGCCAACGGGAGCCAATCTTGTGAGCCTCCTGCTGGCCAAACGTGGGACAATTTGGGCATCAGAGTGATGTTTGTAACGAATCATAACCCACTGAATGAATCAGACTCTGAAAGTCCAGAGAAATTAAACAAAACAAAACAAAACAAAACACATAACATACAAAGGCACATGCATATACAGGGATGAAGTGCTCCCATAGACCAGAGAGCCCACTGACAAAGGGAGGAGAGACACCGGAGGAGGGAACCAGGGTCTCCCAGCCTGAGGACAAGAGCCACCAGCAGATGCCAACACTGCTGCGGGAAGCTTAAGGAGTAACAGGATACCTGCCCAGTTTCAGAGTATCTTACAAAAGATACCTATTAATTACAAAGGGAAAAAAATAAAAATCACAGTGGAGAAGCCTGGCAGACGCGTCCTTACGAGGCAGATCAAAGTCAACGTCTCCAGGAAGGGGACGTGTGTGCCTCCTGATACAATGCACAAAGGAGAAGGCAGCATCGCCCCAGTGCAAATCCCGAATCCAGCTACACAAACCCACACTTTGACAAAACCACGGTCTTCAAAGTAATAGCATAAGTGCTTCACAATGTCAGTGTCAGGACCTGGGAAACTACAAAATGCTACGGAAAGAAACTGAAGACGACACAAGGAAATGGAAACACATCCCACGTTCATGCACTGGGAGACTTTAAATACATCTCTAAGTTTTTATGTGTGTATATGAGCCACGTATGTTACATTGTACGTATGTGCATACGAGCCACATATATATTGTACGTATGTGCATACGAGCCACGTATGATACATTGTACGTATGTGTATAG